TAACATCATTCTTGGTAGACCAGAAAATAAATCTCTATTTTTTTTTCTCTATGTGAATTGAATTTGATTAAACTTTTATATTCAATTTAAATAACTAGGATTGAGCTACATGAAAATCACATTTCAGAGAACAGTTTCTTATCTTATCATTATTGTATTATTTAATTTCCTAACTGCTTATCTGCCTTAGCAATTATTTTCTGTTTCATGATAGAGTAGATAAAATTTTTCTCATGGAAAAATTATATGATGGAATTGAAATAATACAGTTAGTTAACTAAGGAAATGTTGCATTTAACTCTCACGGCAAAACATAATTTTAACTTTTACTTAAAACTTTTAAATATTAAGATAAGCTAGAATATAAATATGTCCATATCTATATTTTTTCAGGATAAAGACTTGTAATAGAAATACACTGAGACCCTACTCTCTGCCTCACATAGTTTAAATTAATTATGAGGGGAATATTATATAAAGGAAATATGAAATGGACAGTACTCCCCAGGGTAGAATATTATGCCATAGTGACTTTTACCATAGGGCAAAGCCAAATGGGACTCAAAGGCATTCTCCATACGTGGGCAACAGTATAAAATTAGTCTTCTAATGTTCCCCTCTTTGGTATACTTTTTCTCATTTCATTATTCATTTCACCTCCTCTGGTGCCTTTATATTTTCTTTTTGATTTGTTGGCTTCCTTCTTGCTCCCACAGAATCCCAACTGACCTTCTGCCTTCCAAGTATTTCATCATGGTCAGCCCCATTCCTTCCCTTCTTATTAAAAGTTACAAAGTGTCCCTTTTCTGTATAGTACTGCCACTTGATTGGCTAGCTAATCTGACCAACTGATTTGTGATGTGATATTAAGTACTCATGTCACATTACTCTAACAGCTGTCTTTGAACTGGGATCCAGTTTTCTTGTAACAGTGTGATGTTAGTGTCTTGGTTATAGTCTCATGGACCCCATAGTCCAATTTCTTACAGATGTAATATCGTATACTTCCATAATATTCAACTAAAAAATAAATTTTCATGTTTTTCTTATCAATTTTCTTTTTTTACAAAAAAATACAATTCTTTGTTAGAATTGCTAAACATCAATATTAGCCATGTCATTATATCACATCATGTCACAAATTCACAAAATATGATAATCAAAGCAATACTCAAATGCCAAGACATATTTGTCTTTATTTCTTTGCTGATCTTTAATGTGTAAATTATGGTTTACATTCATTCAATAAGTTAACAGCTGTTAAGTGTGTATTATGTGTAATGCACTGTACTGAGTATTGGGGATGAGTCAAAGATAAATAAAGAAGGTGCCAGGCACTATGCTAAGCACTTTACAAATATTATCTCATTTGATCCTCATACCAACCCTGGGGGATTACCCCCATTTTACAGATGAGGATAGCAGACAGATGTTGTGACTTGCGCAGTGTCACACAGTTAATAAATCTCTGATGCTATATTTAATCTCAGGTCTTACTGACTTTAGGCTTAGCTCTATCTATTACACTACCTATTTACCTCTATACCTCTATGAGGTAGAAAGAGAATTGGGCTTGGAAACAGACCTGGGTTAACCATTCACTGTCTGTGTGAAGTCTGAAGGAGCACCATAAATTTAGAACAGGAAGAGATCAATAAGATCATCTAATCAAATTATCCCCATTTTTACACATTAGAAAACCGAGGCCCAATGACATTAAATGACTTGCCTAAGGTCTAATAGGCAGTAAGTGAATGATCTTGAGATCAGACTCCAAATCCAGTATTCTTTATGCCACACCACTTTTGATGTGGTCTTTAACCACTTCTGATACTTATTTTCCTTATCCATAAAATGAAAAGTCACATTAGATGATCTCTAAGGTCTCTTCTCAGCTTTACTGTTCCGTGATTCTATGATTGTAAATGTCATTTTACTTCTCTGGAACTTAGTTTCTTCATCTTTGAAATGAAGAAGTTGAAGTAAATAATCTTTAAGGATTCTTGCTGTTCTAGATTCTGTGTCCTATAGGCATGTCTCTCACCCCCAGACCCTCTTAGTGCAGATTCGATGTTGGGATGAATTGAGGCACAAATAAGTCTCTGAATATGTAACAAAGGAAGAAGTTTACTTTGCTCTAACACAACAAGAATATGCAAAAAGGATACAGTGACAGTTTCCCTGAAAGCAGCCCCTTTCATCTCCGTCTGGGAATGTGCCAGCTCAGTCATCAGGATATGGAGACTGTCTCTGTCTCTGGCACCCCTCAAGTCTGAGAGGACCAGAGTACACACTAGTTGGGCCTTTTTCTGCCTCCCAAGGAACCCAAGGCCTTCAGGAAAGCTGAGGATGAAGGAACTTGGGTTCATCCTGTTAGGTAGTGATTATGTTTTTCTAAGACAGATCTATGTGATAAATGTAGAAATTTTAGTTAACATAAAACTCCTGTAGGAAACGTATAGATGAATAATGTAGACTTTCCCTCTGTTTTCAGTGCCCTTATATACAGCCCTAACCACCTTTCTTCTGCACGTCTCTATTTCCTTCATTGTAAATCCTCCTCTGTCCATGTGCTTCTCTTCCTTTCTATGTGCTTGCTATCCCCTGAGTAGGAGTGCTCCATCAATAATTGTTGTTGTGTTTTGCTATGATCTACTAAGGAAGAATTACAAATTCATAGTCATGTTATAAAATAAGAAGATGGAGAAAAAGCATCTTTTGTGAGGACAACAGGTAGCTGTTCATAGTCAGTTGCAGGCCTTCTAATGACTATGTATGCTCTCTTTTAAAAGTAGTATATATCACACATTAGCCAAGGACTCCTGATGCGTATCAGCATTGAGTTCCTTGTAAAGCCACTTTCTGAATAATGAATTTTCATCTAAATTGCAGGTGAATAAAATGTTGTTAGGTGAAATATCTTCTTATTTCACATTGAAACAAACTTTAAAAAATTCTACTGCTTCAGTCATTTTAGAACATTAGTTCTAAATCAACGTAAAAACTCACATTTGTGTATTGGCATATTTTGAATTCTATCTTCTCCCTACATGCCTTTGTTATACACTGTCCCTCCTGCTTGGAATGCTCTCCTTCTTACCTCTGCCCCTTGGAACTCCTGGCTCCTATAAAGTTCAGCTCAAGCATTCCTTCCAAGAAGAGGCCTCTCCTTGTTCCTCCAGGTTTAATGCCTCATCTGCCCCACTTCTCCAAATACTTTGTACTGATTTTGAATATATTTCATATTTACTTATCTCCATTTCACTCAGTTATCCTAACCCCTTTGATTGTTGCTATCATTCAATTGTTTCAATCATGACCAACTCTTGTTGACCCCATTTGGGGTTTTCATGGTAAAGATACTGGAGTGGTTTGCCACTTCCTTCTCCAGCTCATTTTATAGATGAAGAAACTGAGGCAAACATGCTTAAGTGACTTGCTCCGGGTCACACATGTAGTAAGTCTCTGGGGCCAGATTTGAATTCAGGAAGATGAGTTTTCCTAACTTTAGGCCCAGTGTTCTAGGCACTGCACCAACCTAGCTCCCCAAATCTCCTTGATGGCAAGAATTATTTCATTTTTTCCTCTGTATTCCCAGCACCTAGTACAATGTTTGGCATATAGCAGGTACTTAAATAAATGCTCATTGAATTTTCTTTACTTTGACAATCCCTACTACAATACTGGTAGGACAAAATATGGTGCACACAGTGAAATTCAAGAGGACAAAACAAAGTTATGTTTGAATACTGTAGGTCATGAAAAATACTAGATCATGCTTGGGACCATGGGTACATTATTCATCAAAAACTTTTGCTAAAAATTTCCATTTATTTCCTACCAGGAAAGATTTTCTCCTCTCCTAGTTTCCATTGCATAAAATTCAAAGTAAGTGTAGGAAGTATTTTTGACAGCATTAATGGAATCATAATGGTTGCAGCAATAGATTCTATTCTAGAAATATTTGTGGCTCAGAGAAATATCTTGGCAAAAAATTATATGGTTGATACACAAGGATGCTCCCATTTTAAGTGTGTTGGGAAAAAATGACACTGATGACATGTTTACTTTAGTCAGCAAAGAAAATCAGTTTTTCTATCACACTGAAGTCTTTAAGATTGACCTTTATTCATAAGAATTTGAGAATTTCTGCTATCCCTTGTAATTCAGCTTTTAGAGCTGGCATGTTTCCACATTTACAAGGCAAAGAGATATAAGGCTTAAAGAAATCAGGCAGTGAGCCTAAAATACATTTGATATCTTGGACTACACTTCTTATGTGTATTAGATTGTGTGAGGTTTACATAGGAATCTGTATTTGTGGGAAAACTCAGAATACATTTTGCAGCATGAAATCACATGTAAATGTAGTAGGGTAGAGTAAATATACTGAGAGATGGGTTAGCCAGATAAAACCAGTGCAGATTCTTTTGGAGAAAAAGTAAGAATATAGGTCAACCAAAGTATTTTTCACTTTATGGTAGAATACTTTTGAATTAGATTTTAGATTCATTAAAATACTTTTTCTCAGGCACTTCAAACTTTATGTGTTTGATGTTTCATGTATCAAGCTCATGTTGAACTTTCCTCATCTCATCTGTTTTGACATAATCAACATAGAATCATGACATCAAAATTTAAAAAAATGCTACAAAGTGTTGCTAATAGGTCATAATGGATAACATCATTTGGGTGCATCTTCAGTTTATATTGCCATATTAATTGTCTGAGGGACTTTCTGGTATATGTTAAATCCCACTGTAACATCATGGTATTCTGCACATGCTCTTGCTGTATTGGAATTTTGTTGCATTAGATACTGAGTGAAACAAGAAGCCTGTTGCCTGAGGCTTGTGAATCTTTTTGTAATTCAGATGTTGCTTCCTATTAAAATGTGATTTGTTAATATGAACAATAACTTGCATTATTTCCTATTTGCTTATGGCTTATCCCTATTTGCAAATGAAGCACTACTTTGACATACATGATTGCATTTACAGGAGATTTTGATACAGTGCAAAGCCCCTCCACTCCCATCAAAGACCTTGATGAGAGAACATGTAGGAGTTCTGGGTCAAAGTCCCGAGGAAGAGGCCGGAAGAATAATCCATCACCTCCGCCAGACAGTGACTTGGAGGTATGCCCTCTTTTAATTGATGAATGGTAAAAAGAAGCTTTTTTCTGCTAAAAAGTAGAGTCTGCCTTCTGTGAAGACATGGTTTCAAGTTAAATGGTTGAAAAAAGATCTCTGCCAAAAGCCTGATGTATAGTTGTTTATCTACTTTGTAGCAGAGACAATTTAGGGCTTTCATCCTTCATAAAAAACCCTGAGATAACTTGAAAACGATATTACTTTGCAATTTCTAGTCCTGAGAAAATTTCTTTCTCCAATTCAGTGTAGCACAAACAAAAAAGATGATTTAAAAAGACAAAAACAGAGGAATGTTTGTTGATCATTTTTCTGATTATCACATTTGGTACTGCAAGATCATAAAAGGCATTTATTATCAATACTTCATGAACTAAATTCAGCCCACATGTTAAGGAAAATACATCTTCCAAAAGCACATATGTGAAATACCATGGTTTTATATGAATCTATATATACGGTTTGGGACTTAAAGAGCTTTAATATCATCTGTGTGCATCATTTCAAAATTGAAGTTAACTTGGAGGAGATGCAATATGATATAGTAAAAAGGGCAGTGTATTTGGAGTTAGAGGGCCTGTGCTTCCCCCTAGCCCTCAGTTTCCTTCACTGTAAAATGAGAATTTTGCAGTAATTACCTCTAAAGTCTATCTCAAACTCTAAGTCCCTCAAAACCTTCAGAATCAACTTTTATCAGAAAGTACTGAGATGAGCTCTTATTAATGCTAAAATTTTTCTTTTCTGATATCAGGTACTTTGCCTAAGCATAAACAACATATAAAAATCCAGATAAAGCAACCCAGGATAACTTAAGGGATAACTCTACTTCCCAAGATGATTCTCTGCTTTCCAAGGGTTTCTTTTAATCATCGCAGGTTTCTTTTAATTAGCCAGTTTACTCCCAGCTCTAAAATCTGAATTTGCAACTTATAAAACTTAGTTGCACACTTTTTTTGAGAGATACATCTATTCTCATCTTCATTTGTTCTTTTAAAGACTATGTATGCCATTTTTTGGGGGGGAAAACAATTCAAATCTGTTCACCAGATTTTTTTTTTATCTGAACTGATGGTGAGTGATGAAAGTAGCGAGATAAATACCGTCACATATTTAAATCTAAATTACTTTTGAACATGTCATTTTTGGTAGTGAATTTTTGCTCCTCAGATCTTACAGAGGTTATGTTTTAATAATTTTAAAGTAAATTAATAAGGTTAAATGTTTTTCCATGATGCAGTGTCAAGATTATATCCATCTGTGAAGCATGGTGATTTTCTACTTGTAAAGGGATTTCTGTTTTCCCAGAACACTGTTATGTGTTGATGTTTATCATTTATGTCTTCAGCGTGTATTTGTCTGGGATTTGGATGAAACCATCATCGTTTTTCACTCACTGCTCACAGGGTCCTATGCACAGAAGTATGGCAAGGTAAGGAATTGATAAAATATTCTACCTCTTATTCTTATCATCTTTTTATTTTCAAAAATTGACAGTCACATTTTCTTTGATGGTCTAGTCTACAGGTGCAAATTTTGGAACCTGAAAGAAGAGTATTTTAATTGTTTCTTTATCAGGGTTTAGTGGTTTTTAACTTGAGCAGGCAACTTTAACAGTCCAAATAGAGAGGTGTAGATATCCATTACCCTCATGCCCATGCTTCTTACTAGTCAAGCAGATTCAGAAATAATGCAAGTCATTCCTCCTATCTTCATGATGCCTTTTCTATCTTTCCATGCCAAGAAAAATTTTCTTATCTTCATATCATGATTATTTCAAGAGCTAGTTCTCAAATTCGTTTAATCTTAATACTTCCTAGCAATGGGAAATGTGGTGGGGTGGGAAAAGTGTTGACTTAAAGTCAGAAGACCTGGTTTCAAATCTTAGATCTGATATTTACTAGCTCTGCAACCATGCCTGAGTTATTTAAGATCTCTCAACTTTAGGTCATTCCTCTGTAAAGTGCACATTATTATATTTGTATTCAATTCTATTCTATTATTATTATATGTCCATCCAGATAATGGGCAATGAGATACAAACACACACACACACACACACACACACATACACACACACACACACACACCACATACATATATATATATACATACATATACACACACATATATGATATATAATTTAGATACATACATACATACATATATCTATATCTATATCTGTCTATATATCTATATCTATATCTATATCTATATCTATATCTATATCTATATCTATCTATATCTATATCTATATTTGTATCTATATCTATATCTATATCTATATCTATATCTATATCTATATCTATATCTATATCTATATCTATATCTATATCTATATCTACATACCTATATATAGTTGTATTTGTTCAGCTACCTCATAGGGGTCTTGTGAAGAAAATACTTTTTAAACTTTATATGTGAAGCATTGTTATGATAATAGAAGCCAAATTTTAGACAGTTAGAAGAACTGACCAGCTCTGATTTTGGTCCAAAACTGCAATTGGTGTAGTAAACTCCAGGTGAGGAAAGCTCTCCTATCAATTCAATCAACAACTGTCTTGCAACGTCTCCTCTTAGAGGGTTACCTGAGGCACTAAGAGGAACCCTGACTTTTCTAAGCTAATATAACCGGTATGATTCAGAGACTGGACTATAGTCAGGTCTTCCTGACTCTCAAGCTGTCCACCATGCACCTCTTCGTTTTGTGCCTGACTAGTGTATTCAATACTGTATTGGTCTTTGTAGTAATTACTATGGATTAAAAGTAAAATATACTTGTTGCCCTTTATAAAAGAATTGGTGTGTACCTGCTCTAATCCAGCCTATTTAGGCTGTAGCACCCTAGCTTTATTTCTACTGATGTTTTGTTTCTTCTCTTCTGCCTTCTGTATTATTATTCCCTCATTATTATGCCCTCATTAATGGCTTACTTTTGAAAGTTCCTATTTAAATACTCTTCCATGATACCCTTGCACTGTGATTTTTAAGAGTCCCAATAGCCTCACTGATGCTTTTGTTTTATTTCCTCTCACCAATAGTTCTTACTGCCCATCATTTTTGATGTTACTCAATGCTGACATTTATCTATTAGCAACACTGAGAAGGCTGACACAATTCTAGAAATATACAGCTGAGTGTACAACATATCTGTGATGACAGTAGATATCTATTGCTGCTAATAGTTGTGACATCCAATACTTTTGTTCATGGATCACTGTCTTACAATTTCTTCTGTCTGAAGCCTTTGTTTCCCAGAATTCTGCACAACCATATCACCATACAACTGTACAACTGAAGTTGTATATATACCACCATTTTTTTATGATAATACTTTTGCAAAATACATGTAACAGTGAATAAATTATCATTCTAAATTGTGCCCATGGGACATAGATTCACAGATAATGTTGCCTGAAGACAAAGGCCCTATCAAATCCAACTTGTCTTAACTTCAAAATTCCATCCCACCAGATCTTAAAACAGAATCCCTGAGCTACCAGCATTATTCCTTTGGAATCATAGCCAGTAACAAGTCATTAAGAAAAAGAAAACAATCAGACTCATGAAAACTGTTTGTAAACATCCAATTTTGAATATTCTACTACATTCTGACTTTTTTTCCAGAATGGGATGCTTAGCATTAGCAGTTGGAAATGGAATCAACTTTGGGCCTTGCTTTACTCGCCTACAAATAAGAAGATTGGATTAGGTGACCTCTAAGGTTTCTCCTAAGTAGCTAGGTAGTACAGTGTACAGAATAATGGGGATAGAGTCAGGATAGACATAAGTTCGAATCCTGCCTCAGACACTTAGTAGCTAGGTGATCATGGGAAAGCTATTTAGCTTCAATTTTCTCATCTGCAAAATGGGTATAATGATAGCAACTAACTCACAGGGTTGTTGGGAGGACCAAATAAGATAGCATATAAAGAATACTTTGAAAATGTTAAGGTTCCATATAAATGATGTCTGCTATTATCATTACAACCTTAAGTCTATGAACCCAAGTCCTTTGCCATTCCTTTTGAAATTTGTCTGTAAGCACATGCACATTTTTTTGTGACACAAGTGAGAAAATACCTTTCTCCTTTTCTTGTGGCAGTATAGAATGAAGTCTAGAACAGGAGAGCTGACTGCCACTGTGGCCATATCTATTTGCTGATCAAGTGATCCTGCTTGCTACTTTGCATTTGATCAATATATATGGCTGTTTTTCTTTTAAAGTAAGAATAATATCCATACTATTTTCTTACTTATTTTTTAAAGGAAATAATTCTCCATCAGCTTTTTTAAAAGAAAATAATTCTCCATCAGCTCAGCACATAGCAACTACTCCAGTAAAGTCACAACCATGATTTACTTTGTCTGGCTTCATGGGAATAAACTTAATATTAAGTACATCTTCCAAACTTTCATTTAAAAATATTCTTTCTTGGCCTTTGATCTTAAGCACGACTTTAGGTCATGCTGATGAAACAAATGTCAGAACCTTGCCATAGAGGTTGGTCCAGCCTGTAATTGTTGATGAAATTGGCAAAGAACATCAATATGCTGGGTAGCTGGTTTCTTCAATGGATAGTCAGTATGGGTAGCTGAGGAAGCACTAAATGAGCATGGGAAAGCCAAGTTCACTAACATGTATCATTATGGGAGGGAAGGTCTGGCTCAATGTTGGGTAGGCAGCAGGGAACCAAGGCATTAGATCCAAAGAGACTAACAAAGAATGTAGGCAAATAGCAGAGTCTGAGTCACAGAAACCATAAACATGGCTCCCAGAGAAGATATGTGAGCCAAGTGGGACAGAAAGAAGGGAAGCCTGGAATAAAAGAAGCCTAGGTCAGAATCATGGTGGGGTTGGCTAGAGATTGGCAGGGTGGATCAGAGCCAACATGAATTATCTTGCAACAGCATTCCTTCTGACTGGTCCCACCCCTAGGGTAGTGCTATCCACACTGGTGTCTTTCAAAACTGCAGCTCTGTCAGAGCCTATATCCCAATGTCTAAAACATTGTGATTGGTTTAGGTCTTACAACCACATGGAAGATCCTTTGTTTGTTCATTATGATCACTACCATCTCAAAGATTTCTTCAGAACTAATGCTATCACCTCATCAGATACTTTTAAAACTAAATTGACTATGTATTCAATAAGATTTGATTTCAGAAACATTAATAAATGCATTATTATATGTCAGGCAAGGGCAAGCGCATGCTGGTAAAAATGTTTAACAACCAGGGTTTTTGGGGGAAAAAAAAGTATGCGTGTCCACTTTAAATTTTAATTTTCATTGTTTACACTGCCTTATGTCTAGAAAATCAGCATAATAATAAAGCAAGTCATGATTTGTTGCATTTGCCTTTTTCCAAGGTGCAAATGTTCACCCTGAAAAAAATAACCATCTCACAAGCCAGTTAAAGCTTGTGACAGTACATCTGTGTTCCTAGGTACTATCCATACAAAGACCAAAAACCAAAACATTTTCCCTGCCTTCAAAGAGCTTATATTCTATTGGGAGAAACCAACATTTACTTATGTCAATAAAGCCAAATGTCAAAGAGTAAGTCTTTTAGATACTTGAAAACAATTATCATGATTTTTTGGACCTAGTTTCGAATCTTACCTTAAACACTTACTGGTCTAATATTTGATTATGGATATGTCACTAACTTATTTCTCTCGTCAATAAAATGAGGGTAGTAATATTTTTTACTAGGTGCTTCACGAGATGGTAGTAAGGAGGGCACCATGAAAACCTCAGAACATTATGTAAATCTTATCAAGGCTAAATATACCCACTGCCTTGTGAAGAACTGATCTTCATTGGGCAGAGTCTCTAGACCTTACCATCCTGACAATGGATAAATTACAACTTACCAATGCCTTTCTGAAAATGTGACTGAATACATATATAATGTGGTCTGAGTAGAGCATAAAAGAGACATATTATCACCTCTCTTGTTCTGGACCCTATGCCTATCTTAATTCATATTTGGTTTTTGTTATTGTTTAGTCATTTTGGGCGTGTCCAACTTTCCATGACTTTTTTTGGGGCGTTCCTGGCAAAGATACTGGAGTCATTTTCCATTTCCTTCTCCAGTTCATTTTACAAATGAGGAACTGAGGAAATCAGGGTTAAGTGACTTGCCTGGGAGCTAGTAAATGACTAAGGCCAGATTTAAAGTCATAAAGACGAGTCTTCCTGATTCTGAGCACAGTGCTCTATCCACTGAGCCACTAGCTGTCTTAGCTTTTTTTTCAGTAGTTCTATACTGTTGACTCATCTTGAGCTTGCAGTGTACTAAAACTCCAAGTTTTCCCCCCTTCATATAAATTGTCACTTAGCTATGCCTTTCACATAGTGAATCTGTTTTTTTTTTAACTACAGTAATACTTTATCTCTATTTGGTTTCATTTTATTTGATCCACTC